GTGATGCATTCTTATAGCCAGCAATAGTCCATCTGAGCCCTGGTTCCTCCCTGGCTAGTGAGATGACCCATCAAATTCGATGAAGACATTCACACACATTTGTTTCAGCACCTTACTGGTTTTAAATTATGTGCCTCGGTCTTTGTATGTTGCTCATCTGATTCTGGCTTACTGAGCAAAATTATGAATACTAAGAGTACTACCTTCCCCACTCTGAATCCTTTACATACTTGCATGCAGCTTATTTTGTCATCTGACATCACTTATTTCCGTATCTTTGCAACAGGCAATGCAAACAATGCAACTCTTCGTTCATCTGTTCACAGCCTCAGTTTTCCTCTGATCCTGCACATCAGCCTTCCTTCCTGCTCTCTCCCTGCCATTCTCTCGCAAAGCTGTTCCACCAACTTTTCTACTCCCAACACCCTTTCCTCTGCAAAAGCAACGCAAAACAGAGAAACGCACGTACCGTCAGTGCTTAACCTGTTACTACTGTCTGTGCCTAGATTTTAGAGCTTACCTTGGAGAAATACAAGCCACCTGGAAAGCTCCAAGTGGCCTTTCCAATGCAGAGAGAAAAGAATGGTCTGCAGAGGTCATCCTGTGCTGAGGCTGCCCGGACGAGCGGCAGTGCAGAAGATGTGCAGAACCGGCTCCAGCTATGCCCCCTTCCTTTCCAGGAGGCTTCACCTGAAGAAAGCAGCCTGGTAAAAGTCTCTGAAAAGGTCCAAGCAATGTAATGTGGTTAAGGGCTCCATAAGCAGGGCAGAATGCCCCTAGTGCTCAGCTGTTCTGAGCACTTGGATAAGCCCCTCCTGCATTATACAGCTGTGTAACATGATGTATTGAAGAAAAAACAAAGAACAGCTGGAAGAGAAGCTCTGTCCATGAACTTTGCTCTGCTGGGAAGGCTTGGGCAGGCTGCACACAGCATGGGTCAAAACAAAGCAGTTTGGTCCACTCCTTCAAGCTGCATGAATAGTTAATAGAATTTGCTAGAGAAAAAATTGTGTGGGACTAGCTGGAATAAGAGAGAACAACATATAATACCCAAGCATTTTCTTAATAAAAGCTTTCACCAAATGAACACTTCAGACTCCCAAAAGACACCTTCAAGTATCTGTATCTTACTAGGCATTGGCATTTCAACATTTATTACTGCAGTCAAGCTACTATATTGCAAGTATGAGTCAACGCCTGCATCTTCTGGCTCCAGAAGAAAGGGACTGTTCTAATTTTTATTTATAAGCTGGGCAAGTGGAGAGGCATTCAGTTACAGGCAAAGCACACACTGCTCTATGAGGCTGGGTAGGCTGGTTAATACATGGACATATTCGTGCCTTAGCGTCCTGAGTCACAAGTACCACAACCCATCTCTGCAACCTTTCACGTAAAGCCTTTGTAAATCAGTTTTGTTGCCTTCCAGTACAAAGCCCATGACCTCCACATTATTCACTACAGACTTCCAGCTCCGTGTAGAGTATGTTACGATCCAAACTGGGAGTTTCTGACAAGAAGCGCTTGTGAATATGCCCACAGTATAAAACAGGAAGAAGGATTTCAGTTTATCTGTGCTCACTCGGTCTCGTTTGTTGCTTGGAAAAAAACCTGGCAGGCTTCCCACCACTATGCAATAGTCTAGGAAGGCTCCTGTCACCTGGGGACTCACATGCTGATGTGTGAGTGAAGAGAGCAGTAGCCAGGATTCATGGGGTTTTCAGCATGATCCTAATAAACTCTGTCATGCTACCAGTGTTAAGACGGGAGTGCTGAGCAGAAACTGCCTTAAGAACTACTGACAGCTTCTTTCCAAAAGCTAAAAAATGTCACTTTCATGAGTTATTCCTTCACGCTTAAGCACAGAATGGATTTCCAAAGGTTTGTATCTGGTTTACAAAGGTTTGTATCTGGCTGGTAAATTTACCAGCCTCTTAAATTTATTCTGCACTCAAATCCAGCTTCCTTGATAAAGGAAGATAATATTAGCTTATATGAAATACCACATCATCTTACATCCCACACAAAGCTTTAGCCTGAGGATTTCCGGACAGACACAGTTCATCCAAAGCAATTGAAGGTAGTTGGGGGGTCATGGGATCAAGTCACATATGCATTTCCTTTCTTCTCCGGCATCCCTCTGGTTAAGCTTGTGCTCCCGAATTGCTCTTTTGCAATAGGGTAAACAAGTAAGTGTTTTGGGCTCAGGAGATATCCGTTGTCTATAGAAGCAAGCTTATTTTGCCTTTCTCAGTTTGTCTTTAGAAACCTAGCATCCTATAGGAGGATGAAGTAAAGAAAAATAGCAGAACATCTCAGAACTGTAGTTTTGGAGAAACAACAGCAGTTGTCATTATTTAGAAAATTTCCAACTACCACTGTCTCTTGATGAAAGGAGAACTGATGAAAGAAAGCACTGCCATCCCTTTTTCACAGCTGACAAAACAGATATGGATTAAGTGATTGCCAAGCATGATTTACTAAGTTAGCAGCACAAGTAGTAATAAAGCCCTGGTGCTTCAGCTTCTGGGCCATGCTTTTCCCATTTGAATTGCTAGTTTTTGTGCGTTCCTAGAATTCGTTCATCTCTTTTTATGATAACAATCAGTAGATTCTGAGTCTCTAAAAATTAATATAAACTTACTGCAAAAGTTGAATAAAGTTAGTACTTTCCATTAATACCTTTGCCATTGGTAATGGAAAGAGAAGAGAGAGGATAGAGAGACAAACATCAGCAGCTAAACTTTTATTGCACTCTCTGCTTCTGAAGTCCATTCAAGAGTAGGACAGTGGGACAAAAATAATTATAGGGGTCTTTCTACACAAAAAAGCCAGCTATTTAGAGGCAGGCAAAGTCATTTGAATGTCAATGAAATAACCATTAAAAGGCTGAGAAGCATTGCCATTTATTAAAAGATCTAAAGAATAGTTGCATGCACTATAGCAATCTTCTAGGTAGGAGTTGTTAATTTGGTATAAAAACCTATTAGGGACAGGGCAGAGCATAATTAAACAGGAGACAATACACCCTGTGAAAAGGAAACTGGATTTGGAATTTTACAGCCTCTTATTTCATGTTTCTACATGAAATACTATGCTCTATTATCTCTCCTTAATAATACCTGTGTATTTCTAGCTCCCACAGTGTTTTGCGTTTCATTTCTAGCAGTGGTCTCCTACAGCCCAGGGAGGAAGGTAAAACAAGGTTACGTTCTTGAATGCCCTCCCACTCTGAAAAGGAAACTGGATTTGGAATTTTACAGCCTCTTATTTCATGTTTCTACATGAAATACTATGCTCTATTATCTCTCCTTAATAATACCTGTGTATTTCTAGCTCCCACAGTGTTTTGCGTTTCATTTCTAGCAGTGGTCTCCTACAGCCCAGGGAGGAAGGTAAAACAAGGTTACGTTCTTGAATGCCCTCCCACTCTGCCGAGAAAGCCTCTCACCAACGCCACTCCTTAATTGGCCCGAGAGCCCCTCTTTAAACAAAGCTCTCGTCTCCCACAGGGCCGAGCTCTTTCTGCTATTCTGGCAGAGCTAAATCCAGACAAGGATGTGCTATTTACCAACACAAGTGCACTATAAATTCAAATGCACAGGAAAGAAGTGAGGTACTTCCAGGAGAAGTTGTTGATGTTTGCAGGTAGGACAGACCGCATCTGGAGAAAACCTTCTATCCACGTGTAAGCCTGTCAGAAGTGTAAGACGCTAGTAATACCACTCAGTAACAAATACAGGATCAGTCGGAGACCTTGTGGGTAGATTCTGCACTCATGCACTGAACGTGAGCTAAACCAGACTGTTAGGTACAAAACTTTGTTACAGATATATAGGACAGATAAAGATTTCATGAGTTAGACAGGAAAGGACTCTGCATTTGTAAAGATGATCACTTTTTAGCATTAATACAAATCAGTAAGAATATTCAGGTGCAGTGCAGCTTTAACCTCTTCTTTAGCAGTAACCCTGGTCTCTTCGCCGTCTGCCCACAAACTGCCAGGCAAGTAGAAATGACACACGAAATGTATCCTAAATTTTCATTCCCTCAACTGTTATTCTGAGGCACCGCAGGTCTTTATGCATTCAGCTAGCATAGCTGAGTATACCATAGTATTTGAGAAAAAAGTAAATACAAAAAACAGCAATTGTTTGACATCTCCCGTGATACCTAGAGGCATAGAATTCTCCACTGATATACATCAGACAAACATGTCTTGTAAAATACTTTGTTCTTTCTCCTTTATTTAGCCACAACACAAATACAAAAGCAGTCAAACCCCGTCCAGTGGAACTCACTAGATACACCTGTTCAGATTAAGATTCTCGTGAAATCAACCAAAATGTACATGTACACACACACACTTTCACGCACACAAGAATGCAGCAGAGCCCTTACAAAACCAGGAGCGGCACTGAACTGCACCTAAAAGTAAAACGCAATAGAAAAATCAACCGGTTAGGATACATCTGTTAAGCAACAAGGCTGTGCACTGAACGGGTTCCCACTGTACCATTCCATTGGCTATTTAAATACCAGCATTATTCATTTCAGGTGCAAATTTGAAGCTCACGGAGGGAAAAAAAATACCCAAGAATATGGAGTAATAGAACAATTAATCCACTGTAACTTAAAGCCGAATCTGGCCCTATGAAATGAATATGCATATGACCGGCTCCAGCTGGAAGACTACTGCGGGTGACAACTTTTTTTTCCCTTCACTTCCCCAGCAACTAAACCCGTCACCAATACAGTGCGTAATTTGGCTTTTGCTCCCTCCCCACTCTAGAATTTGCTCTAAAGCACATACTGCTCCTTTTGGTGGAAGAAATAGCGTAGTGGTTCTGTGATGTGAGTAAACGTCCACTAGGGACTAGAATAAGACCACCAAATATACCAAACCACTGCGGAAGAAATAGAAATTGGGCTCTTAGATAAAGCTGGTCCAGCTGGTCCATCTGATTTGTCAACGCTTTGTTCAGAAGTTTAAGACTCAAATATAGTTTACAAAAAGAGTAATTCTTTATAGAACATCTCAATGTCAAAATACTAACAAAAACACAGCTTGTTAATGCTGAGAAGAGTGGTCTTGGAAAAATTAATAACTAAACTAGGCCATTGCTAACAATAATAGGCGATATCTCTTCAAAAAAAAGGTGGTCTGATGTACTCAGGAAAAATTAAACATTTGAAACAAACTGTTTACAAAAGTGATTTAAATGCTCAGCACAGATCTAACACAAGTGTTAACAACCACTATTGTAATTTTATTTTTGGACAACTTCAGCAACTATTTTAAAAAAAAAATTGCTAATACAAAAATGTAGAAAACAAAAAGAAAAACCCAAAGAGACAGTTTTTAGACAAACTTAGTTAAGGTGAAGCTGTACCTTTGTCCCAGTTATTAAGAACTTCAACTTTAAGCATGGCATAACCCAGCTCAGCTAGGTTTCTAGGTTTCCCCACCCTTACTAAAGAGTTAGTTCTTAGAAGGCTCCAATCTCAGTCCCCCAGGGTCTGTACGGTTTGCCAAGGGTTGCTGACTGCGTTGGTGCAGATGGGCTCAGCACGTTGGGCGACAGCAGATGGAAGGAGCCAAACGAAAAGGGAAACGCAGACAGAGATGCCATGGAGGAGAGAAGAGGAGGAGACAGTTTGGTAGTAGATGTGACCACGGGGAGCACTGGTCCAACGCTGCCATTTGGGGGCACTCTGAGTGAGGAAGTTTCAGCATGTGGGGCGGCAATTCTGGTCTGGTGATGTGGTTCTGTGGAAGATGTTGTAGTACTGGTATTACCGTGCCCATTTTGAGCCAGCAGCAACGGGTGAGATATGTGAGGGTGATGTCCAAAGGCACTGCCCCAAGGAATGTGTCCAATGCCAGTGTGTGCACTACTTGCTGCTTCCCGTTGAGAGGCGTAGTTATTGAGATGAGACACAAGTCGAACTCGCAGAGGATCGGAGGCGTCCAGACCCTCTATAATACTAAGGTATCGAGCAACTTCAGCCAGGCACTCTCGAAACCCTAGACTCCGATAGTCCATAGCCAAAGCATGCGCATCAAAATAACCTAAGAGAAAAGAACAAGGAATGGAGTCTTAAGATGCTGTTTTCTAGTCATTGTCTACATGTAGCCTCCCCACTCCACCCTCCCCTATAAGCATATTTCACTTGGATGTGGTTAGTATTCCCAACCATAGATTAGCTGCCAAGCTCCCTTTTTTTTTTCTTTTTTTGTCTAACAAGCTTTTCTTTTATATCTGTGCTGTGATGCTGCAAGTCCCAAGACCAGTCACAGACTGCCATTTTTAAACTGAAATTGCACACTGCCACTGGAAGAAAGTACTTTCGTTCTTTTCATGTCTCCCCAGTGCAAGCGAAACCACAGCACAGTGAAATACATTAGAAACACAAGTCCTAACTTATCAGGGGGGACTTCTGCAGGCAACGTACTTTTTTTCCTAAAAGTGCATTTCACCATTTTTGCTAATTCTCTTCACTACTCATTTCATCCTGTATTTTTTTCTAGTTTCTGTTCTGAACTTCCAGAAAGTTAGAGAAACAAACATTTGACAACAACAAAAACTGTGTGTTTTCCTAGTTGCCGAAAGCCAATTCACTTCACAGTGCTGACATATTGCTACAGAGACTTGTAATCACCCTCCCCTAGAACAACCTGGAGCTAGCACTGTAAAACATTTCAGTGCTAGCGATGCCGCAAATCTTGTCAAGCAGAAGAAAGTCCCAAATTCCTGAAGAAACGTAAGAGAGTTTCCGTTCACTTTCTCCAAGCGCTCCCACAGCACACTGCACACCAAATGCTAGGGCACGCACTCCTCTCGCAGCAGCTTCTCTACAGAGCTGCTGACCCACTGTCAGGCACGAAACTTTACCTTTCCCTCCTGCTGTATGCAGCATTTTCAGATGATCGACAGTCATCTGCAGAATCTCTGCTTTTTCCAGCTTGGCTGATCCCTAGGAGAGAAGGGGAAGCACGAAACCTTTTAGGCAGAACCAGAGATGTTAAAGAGGGGCGACCCTTCCTCCCGGGGGCAGGGGGGAGGCAGTGCGGGGGGGCTCACTGGGCGCTACCTGCTTCTCAAAGGCGCTGGGCACCAGCCTCCTCAGCTCGGACAGGCTGTTGTTGATGCGATCGCGGCGGCGCTTCTCGATGATCTAGGGCAGAAAGCGGAGGGTCAGGGGGCG